GCCAGATCGGGCCCCTGTCTTGCCGTGAAGCGGCCGGGCGTGCCGCGAGACCCATTCGCCCGGATGGCCGACGTCCACTTTCAGGGCGTACAAACGGCTCGGCTGGTTTGTTCACGCGTCCCGTCCAAGACTCCAGCCACGGTGCGTTTGGCTGGCGGGACGGTGCATTCGGGCCAGGGTGCAACCCCTGGTGTGTCTCACTCACGCAAAGGATTGAAGATATCCCCAGGTCTGGCGACGTGATTGCTCAGTCCAGTAACGATTGACGTGAGCTGCGCGGCGAGTGCTCAGCCAGGTCCAATTTTCACCCCCCCTGCGCCACGTGTGGGCTGGTTCAAAATGCCGTCTCTGGGCGTTTTGTGAAGGCATCGCTAGGAGGCCTACGGAGAATAGGCGATAACCGCCCCAGGCCTAGCCCAGGCTTCGCCAAAAGGGCGGTGACTGCCGGGTATTGTAATCGTCGTTGAACGTTGCAGTTATTGAAGTGTGCGGCGACTGACTTTGCACCGTGTCAAGCCTGCAGATCACAACCCAACTCAACCGAGCTGCAGTACTCCGTACCAACTCTTTCGTTGAAGACCGGTCTCGCACGGGCCCTCTCGGTAGGTGTGACTGGCTGCGACCATGCGGTCCCTATGCAGATGGTCGACTACATTCAACTTGAGTCTCAAGTTTGCCGGCTCAAGCCATGACACCTCTGGTTGGACTGCCGGCTATAGCAAAGTGCAGTGCCTGGGCTACCTTTCCTAGACTCTTGCAGAACCGACTTGCGCATCTTGTTATCCGCCAACGGTCTAGCAAGACATCGGCAATGCAAACAGATGCCTCTGCGGTGGGAGGTACCCCGGGATAGGTGGCGTGCAGGAGAGGATGATGGAAAAACTGGAGCTTGGATTGCCATGTTTTGGGACGGAGCCAAGACTGATTCACGTCTCACCATTCCTGCGGCTCGTCTCCGCGCTGCAAGCCCCCCGAACATGCTTCGCGAACGCCAGTCAACTTCTAGAGCTTATCAGACATTCGGGTCGATTTGGAAAGAGAATAGAGACATCTCATCGGACACATCAGACGGTCCAGAACGCGCTAGCGTCGGACTCGAAGAAAAGCCAGACCGATCCTGAGATGTGAATTGCCAACATGCTTGCGACACATCATCGGGTCGTTCTCACAAGGACAGATTCTATGAAGGAGGTTTCAATAGCTGGGCCAGGCGGACCAGGCATCCTCAACCGCGGTCTTGGGAATTCTGCTCAGCGTCAGTGCCAACCTCAAACACTCATGCCCAAGGTGGACAGGACAGGCCGGGGTTGGCTCGTATTTGCCAGTTGCTGGCTTCACGACGTGTGACGACGTCGGCCGATGGCGTTCTCAACGTTGCTTCAAACACGAGAAGTTCATGTGGCTAGTCGAATAGCTCACTGGTCTGAACGGCGCAACGCGGTCTGTATGGTCGTCGGCAGACTGTCAAGCGACAAGCTATCCGACTACTGCCGCCTCGTCACCGGTCCGTCGTTGATGGGGCGTGCGTTGGTGATGTCGATCGCCAGCCTACTATAGACAGGTCCGGAGCATCTGCCGATATAGTTCTAGAAGAACGCCGACTACCGCTCTAGCGCTGTCTTGTCCGCAGCCACTTGTCCTCATCAACGGCTCCCGACCTCAATTAACATTTGGCCTAGTCTACACGTGGTTTCTCCTGCTTCCACGGCCGTTGAGTCAGTCTTGCGTCTTCCGCTGCGGGTGTCGATCAAACGGGCAAGTGAGCGCTCTTCATGCTGTGTCTGTTCATCCACAAGTCGGATCCGAAAAGGCTCAACCCGCAGAATCTACCAGAGACCAGTGCAGAAATGGGACGAAGCGGGTCCCATGCAACCACAGCGTGCAATTGTCCGTGGAACAAGTCTTGTTGGCTGACTCGGCCATCCACACTACAATGGCCAAGCTTATCGGAAAAGCCGAGCGACCACAAGATGTATCCTGCTCGTCCGTTTGAGGAAGGCAGATGCAGTATACCTACTGCCAACAAACGTAAGTTGGCATACGGGGTGACGCGGTGGCTTCCTTGAGACGGACAGTATCGGATGAGAAGACGGCACGTAGCGGGATTCCGGGAGCGATTCGGCGGCATCGTGTGGGATCGACCTCAAGCCGATCTCCGTCCAACCTGGAGGATCATCACACTCCGACTTGGGAATGGTGAGAAGGGGCCTCGGGTCTGCAGATACGGCTTCATCCTCTGCGACCTGCCTTGGTCGGATGATGGCGAGTGAACGGCGAAACAAGTCGTCCATTCCAAATCGACGACTCGGCCAGGGCTCATGCAGTCCAGCGTTGGATCTTGATCGCGTCCCACACGATTGGAGTGTTTCACACTTATTTTCAAACATGTCCAAGACGGCCCATCCTGGTGTCGGGGAAACCACTCCTCAGACCAATCCCCCCAGCGCAGATCCATCATCCGCGCCGAGGTTCTGCCTTAGTACGCTTCCGTTGGCCCAGGTCCATCTCGTCTTTCCCGCTCGTTCAAGGGCGGGGTACGCAAGTATGTACTGCGTACGCAAGTATGCTCGATGGTTGAGGCATCCCATATTGTTGCGCGCGTTTGGGAGATCCGCTGTGTCAGGCAGGTCACTGATGGCGCCTCTTGGATCAGACGACATGCTGATCAGGTAACCTTGTCGCACAGACGAGCGGGCTGCTTCTGGACGGCCGCGCAGCCCGCTGTACGGGTTCTGTCAAAGTTGTCAAAATCGAGCTCACAGACACGAGCAGGGCGCCACAAGCGGCGAATCCTCTTATCGCAGCGGCCAATTCATTCCCACATGGGACGGATACAGAAGGTGAAGAAGGATTTTTTGTTTCAAAAGTCTGTGCTCTCCCACTCTCGTCCACAGTACAGGGCAATAGACCGATGTCACCGTATGTACCGGATGCATGCGAAAAAAGAGAAGAGAAAACGAGGGGCAGCAGGCGGCATCGACCCTCGGAAGCGTTTGGATGGGTGTTATCAGAGGACCATTAAGACCCAGTCCTGTTGCAACAACCTCCCCCGCCTGCCGCAGAAAGCGTCTCCACTCACTTAACGCCGTGACCCGGCTTCGGCGTAGAGGTCTCTTTCTCTCTGACACTCTGGTGTGCGGTCAGGGTCCGCAAGGTCTGTCGCATTGGGGTTGCCGTCGTCGACTCGCGGCTCCCCGGCTTTAGATCACTAGAGAACGCTGATCTACGGTACTCGCTACGTTCTACCATCACAGAATGGGCAAGAGGGCCAGAGTCCAGGACTCCAGACGTTTCCTCTAGAGCCCCTCTGGGCGTCTGGGGATGGCAAGCGCGCTTGTCTCGCATGACGAGACACACGTTCTGCATGTGGTGTCCTTGATTTCTTGGTTTTCACGGGGCGAGGGAGGGTCGTCACGAGCCCACCTTGCTCCGCTCTGGAAGTCATGTTGGCGGTGGTGCGGTTCCTGCAGCATCATGACTCTCCTTCTCAGACTGGACTGTGTGGGAGGGCCCGGAATTGTGTGTGAGAGCTGAAGTGAGAACATGCGTCGGCCCATTCCGCAATGCTTAAAGCAAGGTGGTGTGGGGGCTCTTGTCCCTGGACAGCCAATCATGCGGACCACCGGACGGAGGGCTCGCGCTCTACAGGTCTTAAGTTTCATCACGGCCGTTATTCTCATCCAATAGGACCGCTGGCGCAACGGTAGCGCGTTCGACTCCAGCAGTGGCTCAATCGAAAGGTTATCCGTTCAAATCGGGTGTGGTTCAATGCCTCACGCATTCTTTTTGTGTTTCTCATCATTTTCAGTAATGTTTATTTATCTTGAGTTGAAGGATGCTGAGGATGAGTTTTGCGGTGTTTGAGAGCTATGGGTTGTGATATGAGTGAGATGAAGACGGTAGGTGACCGCCGGTGTGAAGGTGAAAGTGGAAACCGATGCCTTCTTTTCCGTGCAACGCACCACATTTGTTGTCGGAAAAAGAGATTATTTGTTTGCCCGAGACACTCACAAGAATGGGTTGGACTCTATCAAGAATCGCATTCACTTGAAGAGGTTTACCATGGACTAAACTGTCATGGGAATGCTGCCTAGGCCCATATCGCTTTTCTTTTCTTGTTCCTGAGTCATTATCGGACTGTCCTGAATAGATTCCGGCATCGTGTCATCAATAAGAGGAGGGCAGAATGCCTAACCTCAAGCAACAAATACTGCTAGACGCAGATGAACACCTTGATACTGCTGTATGAGCCTAGATGTCATGATTCAGTAAAGAATATCTATCAACAGCCATGCATCCGTCACATACCACGGCCTTCTCTTAAGCAGAGCATTGCAGTATCTGGACTGAGATGTTGGCGAGCCTCAACAATGGTCAAGAACAAAGACAGGTATTGTATAGGGGCATGTGCTCTCGAGATGGAAGCCCCTGGCATCTTCGAGGTCGTTTTATGCGCCTTCTATCAGATGCAGTGAGAAGATGTTTACCTGCTTTCCCGCACTCGGTGGTCGACTTGGTCCCAAAGAGAGAGGGTGAGGTGAGGGAGGGCGAGATTCCGAAGCTGACGGCACAGTTTCTAGCTTTCACTTTCTAGGGTATATTCGTGTGATGCATCATCTGCTATGAAAAGTGAAGTCGACCTTCCTGGAAGGAAGGAAGCTGAGGGTCGCTCCTTCCTTTTTGTGAGTCGCCATGGACCTGCTCTCCTGCCTCTACACCTTTCACCTTTTTCAAATTTTCACCTCTCAAGAAGACCTTTACCCAAAAAACAACACTTTCTTCCTTTCACTCCAATCCTCAAACTCAATTCTCTACCCTAATTTCATCACATCGACGCCGCCACTTCAATAGCCTCTGTCTTCTTGACGACTGAAACTCGAGTCCAGCTACCACCTGGAAGGCTGCAACTTCTAGGCGAGGTAAGTCAGTCCTTCTCCAAATTCCCGCGATGACTCCGTATTCATGTGAGTATCACTGACTTTCTTTCCAGATTCGCGACGATGTCTTCCGACGATGGGCACCCCGACGATGCTGGCCATGGTGAGGAGACGAAGCCGAGCATCTCTTGTGGCAGATGCAATAAACCAGGCCACGAGTTGGCAGATTGTTCTTACATGGGCTCCAACGCCCTAAAAGATGGATACATGAAGGGATGTCCGATGTGCAACAGTACCAACCATTTCTACGATGACTGCAAGCTACTGCCTGCTGGTGGCGACGAGCTACTACAACACCATATGGAATGGCTCGTTCGGCGCCGCCGTCATATGCCTCTCATATTTACGACCGTTGATATCTGGATTCTCGTCTTGGGTTTCCCAGAGGACGGATGCGGATATCCGTGGTCCCGTTCATTCACCAGAAGTCTGAGAAAACGACTCCCCAAGACCGGGGCCCCGCACGATCTCAAAGAAGTCGCCGCAGCTGGTGATTTGTCTGACAAGTCGACCGAATCTCTTTCTGAAATCAAGCGCCGCATCAACTTTACTATTACAAGTAAGAGTAACGACTTTCATCTTGCTACCAACCTGGTGGGACAGAATTATACAGCCGAAAATCAAGTCTGGGAGAACAATCAAGATGCCAACGCCGAGTACACTTTAGCTTTCAACAAGATTGTGCAGCAGAGAAACGAAAATGTATATGACGATTTCCAGTCGGTACGGCGGCTGAGGGTTTTGTGGACTGGGGCTACATATCCAGCAATCTTTACGAAGGAAAGCAGTGCATGGGCTCGAGCATTCGGCGACTTCCTTCTTCACGACAAGCCTGGCGGTGTGGATGATGTGACTTTCTTCAGGGAGCTCAGAGATCAAGCAGCAAGCCGAGCCGCGGGTCAATCTCAGTCTCCGCCGCCGCAAGAACAAACTTCCAAACAGTCCCTGCCGAAGAGAGAGTCACCACAAAGGGCAGAGTCACCGCCCAGTACACCCAAGACACCGAAACGACAGCCACCGCCCAGACAAGATTTACCATCAGACAGCGAGATGTGTCTGCTTTCTTCTCCGCGGTCTCGCGCTGAAGAGGCAGTGACGATCTCTACACCGCCACCTACCCAGGAATCGCAAACGAAGCGAGCATCACCGAAGCGCAAGCGTCAGGCAGCCAGTCCAGAGCCTCGCACCAGCGAAAGGTTTCCGACATCTTCATCAACGCCTCTCCGAGTTCGCCAGCAAATCTGGGCGGCGCTGTGCCCAGACAGGCAGTGCGTTGGTGGATACCCCTTTGAGGTTCCCATACCTCCGATTGCTCAACTCAAGGCTCATGTGATTGACGATCTGGAGGACAACAACTCGAACGGAAATTCGGGCAAGCGACTCCCTCTGGCACACTACATCCACCCCCATGTCACCATCAGCATCACCCAGCGAGAGCGACCCGACGGCGAGACCGTTCACGTACTAGTACTTGGCCTGACTAAGGCGACCTCCATGCTGCGCTTCTCCCGGCTTGGACTGCTCCAGGCCTACGACATGGCCGTCTGCTGGGCGTCCAAGGTCGATAAAGACGGCGTCAGCTTCTCTCTTCGCAGCGCTTTTGACGGCTGCAATGCAATGACGGAGAGCTTTGCGGCGGGCGCAATGCGCATCAAGGAGATGGCTGAGCTGGAGAAGCAGATTGAGAGGCTGGCGCCCCGGTGTTCGCAATTCGACATGGTGGTGGAGCGCATCAAGGACTGGATGGAAAGGAGCGGATACAAGACTCAGTATACGTCTCGAGAGGCTTGGAGCGATACTCTTCGCAAGTGGTGGGAAGATGAACATGATAATGTGGGGGGGCTGGATCGAGAGGAGCTGAAGGAGGCTTGTCTGCAGGCCATAGAGGCCAAGATGAAGGAATGGAAGCAGGAGAAGAAGCGAGCCATCGAGGAGCCTGACTCTGACCTGGAGATTATAGAGTCTGCCCCCAAGAAGAAGGCTCGGTCGCGTTGATGTATATGCACGATACCATGGTGCGTAGTGACAGATCAGTGCCAAACCACACCCCTTATCCAACAAATCATATCGGTGTACACTTTCCTAAACCCCTTGCTTTGCCTCCTGAATCGGCTCGCCAATGTCTTCCACAGCATCCTTCTGCTTCCTCCGATCCTTCCTAACCAAGAACCAAATCGCACCAGTAATGAGAAACTGCACTATCATTGTCGCCACAACACTCCTAAACCCACGCCGAAAGTGCGGCGCCTCAACAGCAGGGAACTGCAGCAGCTGCGCCCAGGCAACAATGGCCTGCCCAATGGCATTCATCGACGCCGTCACAATGGCGCGCTCCTCGGCATCCCCGGCCATGGTAATCGTAGCCCACGCCATCGTCAGCGAGGGGATCGCGCCCTCGAACCCGTTGAGCATAAACGCCGCCAGACGACCGCGCTCGCCGACGTCCCACGCGACGAGCAGAATCACGCCAACCAGCGACGGTACGGTGGCGGCGACGGATAACCCCGCGAACCAGCCCGTGCGATCGGCCACGGCGCCCGCGGCAAAGGCCGAGACGACGGAGATGGCCGTCGCGACGGTGGGCAGGGTGTTGATCCGCGTCACGGAGTAGGTCGCGGGGAAGGCCTTGAGGTAGAGAGAGAAGGGGGACCCGCTGGGCTGCAGGTTCTCGTTCATAATGGTCCACTGCGCGACGAAGAGGTACCAGTGCCAGCGGCGGAACACGCGCCCGAAAATGTCCCGCGAGACCTTGAGCCGCGGCGGCGCCGTCAGGCCCCGGAGGCGGTCCCGCGCGAGGGCGTAGAGGCGCGGCGGGAGCAGCCTCGGTCTCGACCGCGCGGGGACGTCCGGGAAGACGAAGAAGCCGACGAGGGCGATGGGGATGGTGATGACGGCGTCGACGACGAAGAGCCAGCGCCAGCCGGCGAGGCCGTGGGCGCGGTGGAGGTTGGTGTAGGCGGCGGCCTGGAGGTAGCCGGCGAACATTGTGCCGAGGGGCGCGGCGACGTAGAAGAGGGCGACGCGGCGGCCAATCTCGGCGGGCTTGTACCAGGACCCGATGACGTAGATGATGCCGGTGAAGGAGGAAGACTCGAAGAGGCCGGTGAAGAAGCGCATGGCGTAGACTGTCTGCACGTTGCGCGCCCAAGCGAGGCCGAGGGTGGAGAGGCCCCAGCCGATTTCGAGGACGGGGAGGACGATGTTGATGGGGTGGCGGGTGAGGTAGTAGCAGGCGGGGATCATGGAGGTGCAGTACGAGGACCAGAAGACGATGGTCATGTAGTTGAGCTCGTTTCCCTGGAGGTTGAGATCCTCCTTCATGCCGCTGTGAACCTGTTAGTCTTGTGGTATTGAAAAGAGGGTTGCGATGCGGAGTGAAGAGGTTACCTGACGTAGGCATTGGTGAGGGAGGACTGGTCGAGGTACTTTGTGAAGAAGCAGAGACAGCCAAAGACGAGGATCAACAGGTCCAGACGGAGGACGAGTTTCTTCTCCTCGCTGGGCGTGTCGTTGGAGTACCAACGGATCGCCGTCATGAAGCGAATCCACGGGCCGTCGCGGGACGTCTCCCGGCTTTCATCGTGGTTGTCGGCTGGGCCTGTGGCCGCCGCGGGAGGTGATTTTTCCTCGAGTGAAGCCATCGCCATTGTTTTAAGCACAGACTAGAGGGAGCAATTCCAAGTTTCAGATCCGAGCCCATCGCCAAAAAAAAAAAAAAAAAAAAGCTTCTTATGACCGACGACCTGAGCCTGCTGCGAGGTCGCAGAATCATCGGCACTCGCAATATAACCGATCGCATCAGTCCCGGCAATAAACAACTCGTTTGCCCGTTTCGGCCAACATCCGCGCCGTTGGTTGGGTTGCGACAATGGCGCAATGGTAGCCCACTATGGCACATGGTCCAATCCCAGCTGTCCTCCTTCTCTGCAATGCTACCGTCTCTGCAGCTTTCCTGATGGTCATGCTCTGGGTCGTAGGGTGGAGTTATGATAAGATCCTTCATAAAGAACCCTGAAATCGATCCAACCAGACTAAGCTTTTGTGGCGTCTGGACTGATGGCCAAAGTGGAGACGCCGGTACTATGAGCGCCGTTGTTCGGAGCCGGATCCCGAGACCTACGGCCGATTGAGCAACTTCACTTGGAGAGACGTGCAAATGGACTCCGCTTGATGAACCGCAAACCCAAAAACTTTTGTATATCATCCGTTGCCCCCGGGGCATATCCCTGGACATCCATCAATTAAGCAGCACCTCTCAGCCCCCCTTCGCTACAACATCCTAAACCAAAAACCCCCTGCGCGCCTTCACCGGCGCCCTACCGCGGGCCAGCAACGCCTTCTTAGCATTGACAGAATACTTCTGCGCCTTGGGCGCCAGCCTCTGGTCCTCCTTCTTGACGGTCCGGAACACGGTCGTGCCGACGACCTCGTCCCTGGGCGCGCGGGCCTCGCGCAGGAGCTGCGCCTCCGCCGTCTCGAGCTTCCGTGCCTTGCGGGGCTTGCGATCCCCCGCCCCGTCCTCGCTCTCGCCGTCGTCCTCCGAGTCGGACTCGAGGAACTCGGCCGGGAGCTCCGAAGGGAGATCCAGTCTCTTCCTGCGTCCCGTGGTGGTGGCCTCCCGTGCCGGGGTCTCGGTCTTTTCCTCGCCCTCCTCCTCCTCGTCGTCACTCGACTTCTTCGCCGGTGCCGCGTCCTCTTGGGCCTTGCGCGCCGCGGCTTGTTCTTGGAGCCTGGCGTTGCGCTCTTGGCGCTTGCGCTTCTGGTTGGCTTGTTGTCTGCACTTCTTGTTAGAATCACTGAAAGGCAAATTACACAAGACAGCGAAACTCACTCTGCAATAGCCTTGTTGGCAGCCTGCGCAGACTTCTTGGCCTGCACGGCAGCCTTGGACGTAGAAACGGCTTCAGGCGCCGCATCCGAGTCGGAATCGTCGTCGTCGCCTCCTTCGGCAACAAACGTCGTCTTGGCCCCCGTCGCAAGCTGTTCCGCAGCCTCGTGCGCATCATCACCGGCCGACTCGGGCGAGGCATCAGAATCCCCAATCTCATCAGCGTCCGTTCTGGGCGCGGGTTGCTCGGCGCCTGTGATGACCTGCTTCTCCTTAACGTCCTGCGCGCCCTTAACCGCGCCGGCTTCCGATCTCAGCTCTACGACAAAGGAAGACCTCTTTTTTGATGATGACGATCGGCTGGTCTCATCCTTCTTGCTGGCGGCCGTCTTGCTCTCCTTTGCCCGGACCGGTAGCTTCTGTTTCTTGGTGTTCGTAGCTGCGGCGGGCGCCTCGGCGGCTGTGCGCTTCCCGTTCCGTGTGGTAACCATTGTGAATGTGAACCCTTGAATCTGTCGAGGGCGATTGCTCGTTGTGAGCAGCTGGCCGAGAATCCGCCGTTAGATTTAGCGATTGATGGGTCGTTTCTTAAACAATCAATGTCGTTCAATATATACTCCTGCAAGAAGGCGACCAGTCGTCGGTGAGTCGGGATGTGAACTTTTGTCAGTGAGGTGATGAGTGAAGTCTGAAATGTCGATGAAATGTCGTCGCGAAAAGGTGTAGTCGCAACTTTTTTTTTTTCGGAGGTGGAGACTGCCGTCAAGCAGATGGGATTCGATTGGTTGGTAGTCAAAGACCCACTTCACAACGTGGACCTCACTCGAGCTTCCCCGGAGCTTCACTCTCACCTTCTCACTCATCATCACCAGCCTCAATTCACGACATGGCAAAGGGTCCTCAAAAAGAGTGTGAAAGCGACGTTTCAGCTCATAGAATTCATTATTATCTGTATTTGTAGATTCTCAAACGTGTATTGGCTCGCACTTGGACAGCCGATAAATCACTGGCGATCGTGCCACGTCCCATCTCATCTCGCACTCCCCTCCCCATTAGACGCTGAGGGAACCTCTCCTCCCCAACACCATCGCCAACCATGTTCCGCCTCGCGACAGCTCCCTCCCGCACCAGCGGCGTCAGCAGGCATCTCCTAGCCGGCCTCTCCACGCCGTCGTCATTACCATGGGCCCCTGCGGCACCGTCACCACCGCCAGCATCGAGGCCAGCAAGGACACTAAAGACAAAGGCCAGACTCCGGCCCCTTCCGGGCCTCAAAAAGTCGGGCGTCGCCAAACAGGAGAAGCCAAAGCCCCGAGACGTCGTCTTCGAGCCCCGGTCTCTCACCGAGTTCAAGATTCTGCTCCGCGAGCTCAACTACATGAACGTCACGGCAGAACGAGCCCACGACGTCTACATGAAGTACATGAAGGCCCTCGCCCGGCCCGATAAACCACAAGACTGGCAAAAGGCATTCATCAAAGGTTAGTGATCTCCCCCCTTTGCCCACTCATCACTTCACTCCCGTGTGCACCAATGCCAACGAGCCCCGCAGAAAACAACCTCACGGCGGGGGAACTGCACGAGACCGCCGGCCTCCTCTACTTCATGAGGAACGGCACCGAGTCCGAACTCATCCTGCAGTGCAACATGATGGAGACGGCCGCCGGCCTCGGCTACGACCCGTCCGCCCTGACCCTCGGCCGCCGCCTCTACAAGGCCGAGGGCACGAAAAACTACTACGACTGGGACAACCCGCGGTGGCAACACACCCGTACGCGGTGCCTGGCCCTCATCGAAGAGGGCCGCGACGCAAACGCCATGGTCTTCGCCGGCCTCCGCCACCTCCGCCGTAAGACGGAGCGCGACGACTACCTCGCCCTCGAGGCCTTCTCGCAGGCCCTCGAGCTCAGCAAGGACGCCGCCCACTTTGACTGGCGGTGCACCGCGCTCGAGGGCCAGGGCGACGCGTACCTGCGGCTCGGCGAGAAGGAGAAGGCCAAGGACGCCTTTTCCCACCTGGGCCAGCTGGGCTACGCGCGGGGGTGGTCGCGCCTGGCTGAGATGTACCCGGACGACCCGGGCGCCTTGGGGTGGCTGTTCAAGGCGGCCGGGGCGGGCATCCCCGGCTCGCACCAGAAGCTAGTGGAGCGGTGCGAGAAGAACCGCGAGTCTTGCGCCGGGGACGAGAAGTGGGCAGACTATTGGGAGCGTCACGCTTCGGAGTGGACGCGGATATTAAAGGCCTCAATCGCCAAAAACAAGCTGTATCAATCGAAATAGGTACTTCACGAGGTTGTGTGTATCAAAATATGTACAACTAAAAATCTACTCACGTCGGCATATTTTGCCCGTGAATTATTAAACTAAGCATACTCCTGCCTGTCCTCCCACCCGGGCTGGAGGTAGCTCCAGTCGCGGTTGAACTTGAAATCCGTCTGGTACTGCCCGTACCGCACCAGCTTCAGCCCATCCAGCTTGGCGCCCGCGTCAGTCTGCGCCCACAGGCTGACGGCCAGGGTGTTGCGGCCGCGGTTGTTGAGCACGCCCGGCGGCACGGGGAACCGTGTCTGCGGCCCAATGTGCGGGACGTACTTGCCATACTGGTACCCGTTGATCCAGAACATGACGCGTGCGGTCGTTCCCGCAGGCGCGGAGAACTCGATGCCCAGCGGCGCGTCCAGGTCCGAGTCGATGTTGAGCGTGAAATCCGTTACGTAGAACCGGATGCCCGCGCCAGAGAGGCCGACGAGCGGGGACTCGGGCTTCCAAGAGGAGCCAGTGGGCGCAAAGCCGGGAAGGTGCCAGCCCAGGCGCTCAGGGTACAGACCGCCCTCGTTCATGGGTCCGCGGACGGGATCGATATTGGCCTCGCCGCCGGCTGCGCCCGCCAACTTCCACAGCTTGAAGCCCGTGTTGGTGCGTGTGCTGCCGGGCTGCAACTGGGCGCCGAGGATGCCGCGTGGGTTGTTGATACCCTGAGCCGTCGAGGCCTGGTCGTGGCCATGGTAGTCGACCACAACCGTGACGACGTTGTTTTTCTCACCCAACGCGGCCCGAGGGAACGTGAGGGTCTTGTTGGTTGTCGTTGCCGAAGCGGACCCAACATCGCCGCCAAGGAACTGTCCATTCACCCAAGCCGACCATCCGAACGCCAAACCGCCCGAGGCCGTGATATTGACCGAGGTGGCGTTGGCGCCGTCAAAGTACCCACGATAGATCTTGGCACCCGAGTAGAAGCCATAGTCAGAGCTGTAGAGCACCGGTAGAGTGACTGGAGCATACGGGCTGGGCGTCGTTGTCTTGTTGCAGACAGTCCATCGGGAATCGTCATAGTCAGGCGCCGCTTCGGGAAGGGCTTCGGCCGCGCGCCAATTTGACAGCTCGGGAAGGGTCACAGCACGGTCCTCGGCGCCGGGGATCTGAGCAGTGAAGGAGCCGTACGCAGTCTTTGTGGCGGCCAAGCGCAGGCCATTCCAGTCAATGGTTTCGATGGGCTTGTCGCCGACGTAGGCCTCAATCGTCGTGGCCTTGTCGCTGTCACCAGAGACGTGGAGGACACCGTGAGAGATGCTGGCGCTTCTGACAAGGTAGGGACCCTGGATGAAGAGCTGCTCGTCGGGCTTCACAGTAGGGTTTGACGTTGTCGGGGGCGCCCAGAAACGCCACGCCGACTTTTGCTCAAGGAGGTAGACAAGAGCGCCGTTGGAAAACTTGACCACCGTGGAGCCGGCGACCTGCTTCCACGTAAAAGCCGAATAGTTACCGTTGGTCGTCTCCTGCAAGTCCGTGTCGCCGAACACCTCAAATGTGAGGTCGCCTGAGTCCCTGAAGGCGAACTCTCCCGTCTGGCCCTCTTGGAGGTAGAAGACGAGCACCTCAGTGTCGAAGAGGCCATAGGTAGCAATGTCCGCCGAGGCGTACAGCAAAGTGTGCTTTCCAAAGACGTAATCGGTGACGAGAATCTTGCTCTGGCGGCCGTTGAGCACGACGTTCGGGACGGTAACGGGTCCGGCTGTCGTGTTGAGGGTGACATCGAACTGGATGGGAGTCATGGACTTGGTGCTGGCTTGCTGCACAACGGTGAAACCGGCCTGGGTATCAGGATTACGGAGAACCCAGCTAAAGGCCGAGGATGATGAGAGCTACGGGCGTTAGCAGGGGTATTATTGAGAGTACGCGCGACGTACACTGTAGCCAGTCCCGTTCCCAATCATCTCAACCTTGAGCAGATCGGACGAGACTCGGGTGAAGAGTCCGATGAGCTTCGTCTGGAAGAGCTTGGTCCACTGCTCGCGGGTCTCGCGGAGAGGGGCGCTGTAGTCGTAACTCGTGTAAACCTGAGGTGCGGCGGCTGCTCTTATTAGTCTCTGCAGTGCTTATATCCACGTAGGACTCACAGTGTCCCCAATTCGTTCCACCATAGCTCATGTAGATGCTCAGCAGGGTCACGCGCTGGCCAATATTATTCTTGTAGTAAACGTCCGCAAATGCCGGGTCGTGCTCCGAGGCACACTGTTCTGCACGTCAGCACGCAGCCCTCCCACATTTCAGAGCACACGTACCTGATCGTAGAAAGTCGGGCTTCCCCAGTTGGAAAACCAACCGCCCTCAAACTCGGCAAGGTAGCTCGGCTGCGTGAAGGAGTAGTTGGAGAACCACTGAAAGTAGGTCCGGACGACGTTGAAGCCAACCGTCGGGTCAGTGCAGGAGAGGGCGCCTGGGTAGCTGTCGAGTCCGTAGACGTTAACGGCGCCGCCGACGTTGTTGTAGTCTGTGGACCACGAACGGGAACGCATGCCCTTTTCATTGTGCGTCAGGGGAACTACGATGCCGGCGTCGTGGAATGCCTTTTTCAGCTGTTCCATGTAGATGACCGAGGTGTGATCGGGGGAGTAGACGCTCTCCTGGTACTCGTTCTCGACCTGGTTCAGAATAACGGGCTGGGCTTGTCAGCGGCTTGTAGATGAACGGGGACGAAGGCACCTACGCCGCCATTGGTGATTTGGTTTGCGGCGATAATCTTGCCCACTTGCGTGATGAAGGGGAGCCACCCGGCTTGGTACCGCTCGTCAGAGGTTCTGATCTTGCCGAAGCGCCCGTCGGAGCCCCAGAGAGCGAGGCCGCCGCCATTGGTTTCGGCCTGGACGTGTTAGCCTCTTAACATGGTCGAACAAACTAGGTTCTCACATTGCAGTAGGGGCCGGCTCTGGCGATGACATAGAGTCCAGCCTCTTTGCAGTAGTCGAACAGTCGCTGAATGTTTTTGCCCGCCGTCTCAAAGTCGTAGACGCCCTCGGCAGCCGAGTGGTACGACCAGAAGAAGTAGATGCTAAGAGGCAAGGTGAGCGTTCTGGGTTTTTGTTTACATGCGGCCGGTACTCACCTCACGGTGTTGAAGCCATTGGCCTTGAATTTCTGCAGAATATCCTTTACGTCGAGGGTTAGTTTTTGAACTGAGATCCTCAACAGGCTCAACTCACGGGCCACAATTCAGGGACGGCTGTGTGGGAGAAAAGAGTCAGTTGCGAATCGAGACCTGAGGTCAGGGTTTCTTACGCGTTCTCTGGTAGTGGAATTCGGCAGAGCTGTGATCAGTCAGTACCTAACCCTAGATACGATTGATAGGGCTACACGAACAGGATATACGTCCGGGTGTCGTTTATAACGAGACTGTACTTGTCCCACGACACCACATCGGTAAGGCCATTGTCAGTTGCCCAAGCCCCGGATGCAAACAGCCAGATCAAGGCCGTCAAAGCTCGGTGAAAACGCATGACAGCACCACCTCGGTAGGATCCAGATTCGTAGATGTGCGGATCGAGTGAGAATGGCGTAGCATTCTAGATCTGCTCTGCTGCGAACCACGCGGGAACGAGCCGACTGATAAACGATCGTGAGCCCATCACTGTTAATTACAGGCCGCCGGCCATTAATCCTAGTCGCGGAAATGAGGACCGAATGCGACACCACGAAGAGCTGCATGGCTTTCCTCACACAGGCGCAGACCACCAGCTCTTCATTCTAGTTTCCAGCAATCAGATGCTCGAGGTCTGGCCGTCATTACTTCATTGCGGGGTATCCCAGTCGCCGTTCCTGTATAGACTGCGTGCCTCGCGTGAGAGTAACGCAGGAACCGTGGTGGCCTCGCCCGTATTGTCGCGCAATTCTTCCGCTGGACCTTGCAAAGTGTAATCAAACGGCAAGCCGCACGTGTCCGGCGCAAGGGAAGTTGCCATGTCGAGCTGCCCGTTTGGACCATTGCTCAGAAAGAGAAAGAAAAAAACGATGAGAGCTCGGCGTTGCTTTGGCCGAAATGTCTGGTCGATTGCGGGGTCGCCCAATGATCAGCTGGAGATCAGAGGGGCGACCCGAGCTTTCCCCCAGATGCCAATGGAAGCGTGCCTGTCAGAATGCGGGAAAGCGACGCAGACAAGCTTTTTGGGGACATCACCCCGATGTCTCTCGGCCGGTCTTTCCGGGCAACCCAAGCACCAAGTTGAATCTGATCTGATCATCCCTTTCCGTACGTGTGCATCACATATATCTGAACCTGGGCCAGTAAGACTTCTTACCGCCCATTGTCGGGCATTACGAGATTATTTTGTGGACTGTCCTTGATCGTGGCACTTGGGGCGGCTCAAAACATCCTCCCAGGCTTACCTCGAGGAACCATCCTCTTCGTCGGACAATGGCAAGACCCAAGCAAAAGGCGCTGGCTATGTCTGCATCTGGTTTCGCAATCAACCTTCTGAGGCCATCTCATGTTGTACAGCACTTGGGGAACCACGTTTCGATGCCTACACCTCTCATCCCCTAGTCACGACTCTACAAAGAAACCATCCTCTCGGGCCTCAACAAGCCCTCTAAACACAGTCCATCGATGGCGGGAGCTTCTCGAGTCAAACCAATCGCTTCTTTGTTGAAGCCGCGATCCTCGTGAAAGCAATGTTCGACAGCACATCGGATTTGAAGGCGCAGTAGCCGTGCAGGAGACGACTCTGCGCAGCATTCGAGCCCGGGTCCAGCTGGAACGACGTGAACAAGATTCACCACTTCCACGGCGTAGTGCGCACAATTACGCCCAGCTTCATCTCCAGCCGACGGGCCGAACGAGCACTTGAAGGGGAGGCTGACGGTCTGCAGTGAATAGTCGATGCGCCGGCCGGGCTCACGTCTTCAGCTGGGAGTCCCCTTTCCAGACCAGAATGCAGAACACCAGTCCACGAGCATAACCGCGAGGTTTCCAGAACGCATGCCGAGGAGCGTATACTGCCAGGTCT